CCATGAACACGCAGTGGCTGTCGCCGTGTGTGTGTGCGGTCGCATAGTAACACATGTACCTCAAATGACTGAGCAGTCGGGCGACTGTGAGGGAGATCTCGATTCGCGCCACAGGCCGGCCTCAAGCCACTGCGTGAGTTCGGTCCTATTCACTTCCATTTTCTTGGCAGTCGCGCTTCTAGCAGTCGCGCCACTAAAAGTCGCTCGTCTGAACAGGGAGAAGGGACAGGCAGTAAAGATGACAAACCTTTCCTTCTCATTGCTCGTCCCACACTCATTAGACCTTAGAAGGGCGGGAAAATGGAACCAAAACACTAGCGCATTGATAGAGGCTTGATAATCATGAGTTTCCACCGAAACAGAGATAAAAAAAATATCTTGACGTTACGCTCCGTTGTTTTTATTGTTATTGTTTTGCTCCGACTTATATCCTCGGCGATAGACCAACTCTTTACTTCACTAATAATGCAAATTTATTCTACGTCCGCAACATTTCATGCAATTCTTTGAAAATTTACAAACAATTATTAGATACACAAAGATAATCTAATAAACTCAAATTAATGAGAAACTGAAGGTTTAGAATAACGTTGATCAACTTTCCCCCGATGGAATAAATACGCCTTATGTTGCACACTTTTCGGGTGATCGTGTCATACATGAGAAGCACTGCTCTAGATAAACACCTGCTGGATTGTGAGTGGAGGTCAACAAGAACAGCTGCTTTCAGGAACATGCCAAGGTGAAAGAAAAAAAAAAAAAAAAACCAATAGATACACAACATATATTTCGAATAGGAAAGATAATATTGGTAGAATGTATTTCCATGAGATGTCGGCCTTCAAGTTAAAAGATATTTTCTATACCAACACTAGTGCTATATGACCTTGATGTCTAGCACATTTATTTGTTTAACTATTAATCATTATACCAACATTTAATGTGTATATTGAGATTTTTTCTTTCTAATTTAAATTCGACTTCAAAATCGTCTGTTGCTGCATGAATATTATCGAAAATATTTTCCGTGATGGTGAATAACTGCCGTCCCCATCCCGTGCTCGTTGTTGCCGTGGGGGTGGGGGTTAGGGGACGGAGACTGAGGCCCAATGGAGGGGATCCAACTGCCATGAACCTCGACCCTCGACTCAACTAATTTTGCATAGTCTTTTCATCCCCTTCTGTTCACATCCTAAAGCGTGAGAGTCGTACTGAAAGGATGAAAGGCCGACTTTACGTCAGTCCTGAACGGCCTTCGTACCCTATTTGCTCTTCCTTTTTTACTCTCTTCCCTACCATACTTACCTACAGTACGCTAGAACCTTTAACATCTAAAATAGTTTGTCCTAATTGTTTACTAATTTTTTATACTTCACGGAAAACTACATCGAGTTCAGCAAATTATTTGAGGGTTTCCGTTATGCAATACACACGCACAGACACGCACGCATGAACACACACACACACACACACACACACACACACACACACACACACACACACACACAGCACACACACACACACACACACACACACACACACACACACACACACACACACGCACACACACGCACACACACACACACACACACACAACACACACACACACACACACACACACACACACACACACACGTACGCACACACGCATGAACGCACACACACTCACACAGACACAAATACACACGGACATGAATAAACAAGCAAACATACTGCAAGCACAGACAAAAACCACAAAAAAGTTGCCTAAGTAACTCAATTCAGCATACCTACGCGTCACCTTAATGCCCTCTGATTCTAGAATAAAGCAAACAAACAAATTACTAAAATGTTTTAAAGTTGAAAGCGTTCATATTCGACGGTTGGTTGTGAAATCGCATGAACTAGACTGCATTGCATTTATTATTTCTTTTATTTAATTGCATGCATTTTGGGTTGCATGCCTGTTTTCAGTAATGCACTGTATTGTGTGTGTGTGTGTGTGTGTGTGTGTGTGTGTGTGTGTGTGTGTGTGTGTGTTTTCATATAAGGTTAAACATGCATATAAGCCTGGCTGCCGAGCGATCCACAGATGATTCTTATCTAGATAGGAGGGAGAGTATGTTTAAATAAACACTGTCATCTACGAGGATTAGTATAGGTGAGCGATAGTCAGACCTGTCAGGCTGTGACTACCGCTCATCATTCTCCTGGCGGTTGTGTGGCAACGCTGGACAACACAAAACCTTTAGAGTTTCGTAAAACGTTGTGCTACGTTCCTACGACAAAACTTTCTACGGGAGCTTACTCTTTAAATAGTTCTGCATCACCTAAACATCTTATGCGGAATCCCGCACAATAAATACCCAAGAAAATGGGGTGAAGTTAATACTTCCGACCAACTGGTCGTTTGGTGCTGTGGTTAGATAAAGCCGGTTGAATGTAAAACGGAACCACACAAGCGGCCATATACTAAAAAGTGACTAAAACTAGCTTGCAGGGTAAAACAAAACTACGCAAG